TCTCAACAACGGTTACTTACTCAGGTTTGTTGAGAGAAAAGTGCAACCAAAATTACAATTTGCAAGAACTCATTTAATAAACAATGAGCTTCAGGAAGATAACTGCAGAGATTTTAGAGAATCGTCCGACAAAATCCGTGAGGAAAACGTTTTATCCTTTCGAGGTTCGCATCGTCCTCAGGCGCGCTATTATTCGTTAATAACACAAGAATATTTAATTTTAAAGGGGAAAACAGAAGTAATAAAAGCTTTTTACCTACAATTCATTCGTTAAATGGTACTAAACTAACATAAGAAGGAATACAAAACTTACACGCTGATTATGAATTTTGTTTTTATAAAGTGGTCGAATATTTGATGCATCATTCAGCCCGATATAATTACTTTTTTCACTTAAAAACTCGGAAGAATTTTCATGGTATGTCATTTTTTCGTTGCTTCGCTAAGTTTTGAGCTAAGTTTCAAATAGCTGATTCACCAACCAGTATTTAGGCTGTATAAAAATATATTGGATTTAAGTTCAGTACATCAAAATTAAGGACTAATAAAATAAAAATTGTACCAAAAAACGTAGTTGTATATTAAATAATACAAAATGTATATAATGAGAAGAAAAAGACATTCTTTGTCCAGCTGTCAACTGAAGAGTTTTAAAAAAGCATCTTAAAGGAAATCTATTTTCGTACGATTCTATTTTCAGACTGAAATCAAGAAAGAAAACACCAGTACCTAACAGATTTAGCTTCAAAAAAATTTGCTGAGCGGTGAAACTAAAATTTTAAAAGATGAAATATTACTGATTATTTTGATCTTTAAAACAGTCAACAAACAAGACAGATAATAAATTTATACGCTATTATTCTTGTCATTTATTGATAATCTATCTAATATATACAAGTAAACGGAAACAACTAATATACAGTTTTGATTTCCAGCAGGTGCTGGAAATTATCTATCAATTTTGTTGGTTGTAATAACTAGTGGAACAAGTGACGAGTTCCCAAAAGACAGAAGTGAAAGGAGAACATAACCAACTGGACCAAGATAAAAATGAATGATCAGTGTAGGTCACCCCAATGTGTAGCCAAATAACAAGTATAGATTCCCTCCGAAGTAAGTGAACATAAAGTGCTTAAAATAAAATAAATTGATAGTACCAATTTAAAGACATACAAATTACTGAGGATTATTGAAGTTTCTTAAGATAAATAATATCAAATATACATGTTAATTTGCACCTAATTAAGAACTATGCAAAGTGACAGATCGATCAATTTTCTAAGGACAAACCAAATGAGTGGCGAAACGAGAATATAACACAAATTTCTTTGTTCATAACCACACTACAATTTATCTTTGATATCCGCCACTATGTGAGACTCATACATCATTACTTCCCACATCTAGATGATAAAGTAGAATTCTGGAGAAATAAATGTAAGAAACGTTTTCACTTTAGGGAAGACAATTTTTCCTCACTGACGTAGACACAATTTAGTAAATGAATAGAGCGAAATAAGACTATTGGTCGTTAATTTGTAAGAGAACTAGACTGTCTGTTGGTAATTCAAGCAAAGACTAGAATGTGAAATATGAGATACTTCGTCCCAGTGATAAAGTTAAGACAATAATCCTACCTATTTCCTGATCTGGGAAAAAATTTTTAATATATTTTCGCCCCAATTTACGCAGAATTTACCAAAATAATATCGCCTATGTTGTTCAAAGGTTCCCCTTCATTTGCTGTTTTTGTTCGCTTATATAACGTCAAATGTCCGTTAAGTCGATATATGTCTGAATTTAATAACAAAAAGTCTCAATTTTCTTGTAACATATGTTACAAATATTTGGTTTTAGGTAAAACTGAGTCAAGCCTGAAATTACGCTGCGTGGTGAGCGTGTAAGTGAAGAGTAATGCTTTGAAATCCGAAGACAAATTGTGGAAAAATAAGCCCATCAATCAGCAAGCACAACAAGTGTCTTAACATTCCATAAATAAACAAAGAGACAGTAATCGGAAATAACAAATCCAGGTTTAAAGAGCTCCCATGACCAAAATTGAGTTACTTTGGTAGACACATCTTTGTAGACGTTGGCGTAAAGCCAGAAAGCACTTTATGTACAAGCAAAGCATACACAGTAGCTTTAGTGCTGGATACCTAATCTACCAAGTTTGGGGAATTTGGAAGAAATTTCGGGAAAATCCCCAAAGTCAAAAGACCTTCACCAAGGTTGACAGGAATTTTCCTTAGATCTAGGGAAAATTAAAGGATTAGGTGCCATTTTTCTCTGAAATTTTCTATGGCGTCTTCCTCAAGAAGGGTTAAATTTTCCCCAAAATCGGGAGATTGGTTAAAGGGAAATAAGAAAAGGTGTATCCACAGCTCAGCAACCACAAGCAGTGCACTTACATGAATAACAAGGCGATTGAGAACAATCGTAAGAATAAAAGAGTCAAATTAAAATGATCTGACAAACAAAACAAAATGGTGAATGTGCAAGGTTTCGGATATTTGAAACCGCCACCTGTTCAACTAACTTGTAAACATGACAACTAATTGATAAACAATTCGCTAATCAGGAAAATGATTGAAAGAAAAAGAAAGATACGTTGCGTTACTTTTTTATGTCTTTAAATGATAGCAAAGTCTTTAAATGTTGACTAAAACTTGACGAAATAAGTAAATCTGTATGTTTTCGACATTGGATGCTGACCACATTAATCTTACTGGACTCACCTAATTGAATGCACTCGATCATGCGTCTGCACTAGATGACGAGTGTGAACGCCGTGCTCAATATCCCCTGCAATCGCTAGTCAGTCTAGATGACCCTCCACATATTGATAGCTTATCAAAAAGGTCTTAGAACCTCTTCGCTTCTGCCTTTTGGTTTCACTTGGTAGGTACGATAACTAGTGTAATGTGTTACTGGTTAAAGCGTTGTTAAACTTAAAATACTTGGAACCTTACTGTAACTGAATTGTAAATGAACATTCAAACTCAAGACTCCTGCTACAAACATGATGAAAGAAAATTTCTGAATGTGATGCATAAGCGTCGGAAAGTTACTATCCTGTTTTCCTCTGTGTTAAGTTGACCACTTTCATTATCAAATAAAGAATACTCCTGAGGACAAAACATGACCTGTTATTTTATCAGCCTATTTGCTCACTCATGTTTTGTTTTTAAGTGTTACCGAAGATCTTGAAAGCACATTAAAGTCTCAATAATTATATAAGACCAAAATTACAAGAAAGTATACATGTATATTAAGGCCGCAAACACAACGAACAAAGTTGGGACTCGAGTTAAATCTGTTTTCTTTAACTTTATAATCCACAATGAGCTAATTAAATAGTGACTCAAATGCCAATGCCTTTAGATGTACATTTAAACCGTAATAAATATATTGAAGTGAAATAATAAAAGTATTGGCTTAACAGGATTGTAAGTTGATACATAAGGCTTACGATGACACTGTAGTCCAATACACGGGTAAGTAAGGTTACTTGATTCGTACTTTCTCTGTTAACATGATCTGTTGAAATTGATAACATCAATGAAAATAAATGAATATTCATGTGAATTCAACAGCGAGTTGATAAATAGATTTATAGGTTAATGCAATAATGTTAATTTGAAGTTATATTAATTTGAGAATGGTAGCACATCCAACTTGTGACACTCGACAATGTACGTCTGATCAAAAGTAATATTCGGTTACAAAAATTCTGGTGCCGCTAATTATTCATGCAATGCACCTGCTTAATAAATTTACAATTGATACAATTTCCCCACTGAAAATTGCTTCGTGATGGGTACGGACATGACAAACTTCAGCTTGCTTTTTCAAGTATGAGGAAAAGATCCATGGATCTTTGTTGCTAACGTGATGATGAAAAATATGGGGGCCATAGGAGCACAAAGGAATTTCGATATAAAACTACGACGATGCCTTAATGTGCTGAAAAGACAAATGTATGGCGAACTATTAGATAAAACCCACATTCTCTTCTGTTGTCTTAACTGTAGCTGAATAGTCTCTAGATGAACAAATACAAGGATTAAACACAGTGAGCCTTGATGTCTGGCAAAGTAGAACGGATTCGCATAATTGAGGGAAATAATTATGATAATCGAGGGTCTAGCAACTGTGTTACGGTTAAATAAATCTACGACTTCACTTTACTGACGCGAATTGCAATTAACTGAGACGTTTTTTGAAAGTCATAGATGGAATGGATTTTAAAGTAGGGTGAAGAGCCAAGTGTACAGATAGACAAACTTGAATTCATCTTGGTGTGGACGAGAACTGAAATGGAGTAAACAAACTTGTTGTTTAATGCAGGCATAGAACCGAAGGGGTTTATTGTATTGGTATTCGAAAGGTTTTCTCTAAAATCTGCACCTATGAAAAATTTTAAATATACATATTGCACAGCAGAACGAAGATTATTTGCGAACTTAAGGTTTTAAATTTGGCTGAATATGTAACAGTTAAAAACGGAGTAAAATACCATAAAATCAGAGAAACAACTAACTAGGTAGTTACGACACTGAATTCGGATAACCATAATTTTGCATTCAAGCACGTTCGGCTGACGCTGGGTCGAATGATGCTGACAATAACCCTTCAAAAGAAATCCGAAATGCAAGTAAAGAAAACGTTACTTGATAAGAGTGAAGATATATTCCAATGTAGATGTAGGTAGATTAGTGTGTTTATACCATTGTGAGCATTATGATCATCGTATTATAAACAAAGACTCCTGTACGTCCAACCAGTTAATTAAATTTTGCACAATTTAATTTATGACAAGTAATATTTATATCTGAGAGAAATGTCCCACATAGATGATTGAGAGAAGAAACTATAACCCTCGAATGCATTATCGGTCATTTTTCATTTTGAAAGTCATATATGATCGAGACAAATTATTTGAAAGTTGGTTAACGTCATGTATCACATAAGGAATGTGTTTTTGTTTAACAAGCTGTTATGGCGCTAATGTAACAACTGTTAGCTGTTTTCGCATTGATATTACTTGTCCAGTGCACCACATTTTAACAAATCCCTTAACAAAAAAACAGGTGATTCATTAGATCATACTCCTAGAATCGAAAATTTTTGTATACTTTATCGTGATCTGAGTTTCCAAGATAAAAATACAAAGCTTCACACATTTTTATAAGTACTTCCATACTGATAACGTAGTAATAAGGTGAAATTTTGATCATTTTTTTAAATTCGTGTTAATGTAGCACTATACAACACTAGTCGAAGTGAAAGTAGTTTTTTGAGCTGGAAAACATAATTTAAATACTTACAGTCATTTTGGATGAAGATTGAATTTACAATTTGAATGTGTAATCTACACACGAAAATGTAGCTATTTTACTCTATTTTAATCACAAATTTTAGACTCATGATTGTCTTTCCATTTCAACCGCACATCCTTGAATTCGCTGCCGGCTATGGTTGTTCAAACGACTTCCCAGTAGTCCTCCTCGGTAATAGTTAACAGATAATTTAGGACTCGGAACATTAATTTAATACGATTTGTCGTTATTCATCAGTACTTTGTTTAATATGCATGAATCTTTACTTAAGAGGACTTGCAACGCCCTGATACTAGATAAAGAATCAATTGTGCTAACACTTTTTCTATTCCGTCCACGTTCATTTGAATTGGTTTCAAATAATGATTGGAAAGTTGCCTAAAGACAAAATCTCTGAATTAAAACTGTGTTTATTGCAATATGAGTCATGATGCATGTTTCTCTTAAGGATTTACAAAGGTAATATTGCGAAGTACACAACGCATATTTTTCACTTTTCTTAGTAACAGACTTACGCATAATCCAAAAGTCGCATATTTCACTATTGACGATTTGTGCTGATAATATGAGATAGGTTGACACCAAAAACTACATTTATATCGAAGTTTTGGCCTTGGAAAAGGAGGTACATTATGTTGATTTCCTTCACATCTCAATTATCATACGTGTACAGTCCGCTATTATACTCGTCAGTTACATTTGCCCACGAAAACCAAGAGGACATACTTTTTAAAACGTCAAAAACTAAACTCGTTATTAAACAAACTAAACACAAGATTTTGAGTTCCGAACATTTCGAATTCATGCTCGTTTCATACTGGTTGATTATGAACAGTCCTAACATCCTAGAGGCTCATTCAAAACGTATACAAAGTTAAGTGATATGCAAAGTTAAAATTTTTCTGTCTAACTGGTCTGTTTTTTCCATACTCAACTGCTTAATTTCGAAGAAACTTTGGTAGATGGAAATACTTCAGTTCCATGTGATAACTTTTTAACTGAATACATTTTTGATACAATATTTAAGAAATTTGCATCATTTTCAGTTAGAATCAAGCTTGATTCTAAACTGCCTACACGACTGATCTTAAACTCTGGTCATCAAAGCCACGTCAGTGTTTTTATGCCACACACCTTTAAAACTCCATATCGTACCAGGAATATTTCGAGTTTCGATCGCGTACTATCAAGTATTAGTTCGTTCAACAAGAATATTTGGTAAAAGACAGCTGAATTGAGATTAAGTTTCACCGATATTTTTAGTAGAAGGAGATTTGTATCACTTAAGAATAATTCATGAATTTAGAGGGGATATGGGACCAAATAAAAATGTCAGTTTATCCCCAGATTTTAAAATAAAAATATTCTGCTCCATGTATATGAAAAAAACTATGTATTTTAATCAGACAAGACACTAGAAGTTGTTTTCTTTGAAACCAGTATTTATATCACTTATATAAAGGTTAGCAGAGAAAACATTTCTTCGAAACAGTCCTATTGTTGAGTTTTTGTGTGTACCCTTATGTATTCCTTTCGTTGAAAATAATAGGAATAGATCATAAACAAAATATCAGCTCAAACTAAAAATTTTCACAAAGACAGATCTTTAATCTGAAGCTGAAATTACTATGGTGGAGAAGAGTAATAGCTCATAAGGATGATTTTAGTAAGGTTTTATTTTCTGAGCTGGATGACTTTCTGTAAGTTACAAAATTTTATTATCCAGATTCCTGAATAATAAAACAATTGAATTCTAAAGGATTTATCCCTCTGATATTGTTAAGTCTATCCGTCTATAGCTTCGAAATTAAAATAAAAACGTTTTCACAAAAACTGTTTTTACCAGATGATTTAAAAAAGTCTCTAAAATCAACCGTTAAATGTGTCATAAAAATCATGTAAAACGTTTTTAATTACTTTATCAAATTTTCATTTCCATATATGTTCTAGCCAATATTAGTAAACATTGGGATCGACAATTGGTGTACAAAGTTAATTCATGTGGATATTTCTGATTTAAAGTTTATTCTCTTCAGTTTATTAAATTTTAAACAAATTAGTAATAAACACTGTTAACATTAAGTAAAAAAACTGATTGTGGAGTAGAAAATTATAATAATGAACGTATTTAAGGCCACCATCCAATTCATATTTTGTAATTAATTCACCAATCAGCAATAAACACAGATTTAGTGAACTGAGCTCAAACGCGCAGGTTGAATATTCAATTTTTATTTTACTGATTTGTTGTAGAAAAATTACAAGTTTTATTTCTACCAAGATAATGAAATAAATAAAAGATTTTCACCTTATTGTTGAGTTTTTGAAGTCATTTTCGACTTTTTGCTTTATGATGTGCATAAATAGATACATAATAAAATAAAGAGAAGATATTTTACTGCAGTCATATTTGATCATGATGTTTCAAACGTTAAATATCATACTTTCCTGTTGGTAAGTCCCTAACTAGTTCAGTACAGTGTTAAATAGAGCGTGAATAAAAAATTGGGCGGAATGAAATGAACTTATTTTGTTTCGCAAGTTTCTCACCAGTTGTTTTCAACCTTTAATTACTAAAAATCAAAATTATTGTAAAGTTTACATACTTATGACAGCAAACATAGGTAGGTATCATCATTTTGGAGAAATGATAGTGTAGACATGAAAAGAGCGCTGTAAATAAATATATGTGAAAAAAGATTCTAGACCATCAGACAGCAAAAAGAGATTCCGGAGAAAATAAATAGTTGATTATATAATGAAGCAGTCAGAAACAAATCAACAATTAAAAATAACATAAGTTGACATCAGTCGGTTAAAAAATAGTGTTATGAATACGAAAAAACAATGAAATTATTACGGGAGAGATCTAAATTACAAACTTGATGTAAAAAATTGACGATGAAGAGACTGTTGTAAGAAAAGACTTGCAACTGCTCCAGTAAGACAACTATAGCTACGACAAATCCGAGAAAGGCTTTTAGCAGTGCTGTTGTAGAACCTCTCTGTAACACAGAGAGTCAAGTTGACAGACTGAAATCTTTCAGCACCATCTATCAAGGGTAAACTTCCATTCTTCTATAATTAGATGAAGCTATAGTCATATTTGAAATATTTTATTAGGCAGATGGATATTTTAAGTAACTGTTAACAGTCGGTCATATCAGTCATTTGAATCCAAATTCATTGGTTTATATATTCATTAAACTTAAGAGACTTGTGATGATTTTTTCCTGAGGTACTACTAGAAAAATCACTGATACTTCTCAAATTTATGCCTGTGTACTGACATCTAAAACTAAATTAATTAATTATAGTAAATATTACGAGGGAAAACAGCCAATGTGGAGTAACCTGATTCCAGTAGTATTTTAAGCATCTTGATTTAAATTTCTAAGCAAACATCTCAACAGACAGATGGATTTCAGTTAAAGGATACATTATTACGATAAAGAAATATGAATTTTGTACAGAGATATAACCATAACATCCCCAAACAGTTTTGTCACAGAATACATTTTCGATTTACAACTGTATACGGCATTATATTGCCAAAATAACAATGCCACAAATCTAACGATGTTAAATATAATAACAAACTTTGATTAATTTAGACATTTTTTGGAACTAGTTCACCATTCGAATATTTATTTACAGCACTCTTGCGTCTTATCTGAAAGGAAATGGCAAGTTTAAGATGCATTAAATCCGGCAGTAATTAACTTTTATGAAGCAATATCCATAGCTTTATAAGTTAGTATTTGAAAATGTATTAAATGTTAAATAAGTTTAAGATGAAATGTAACTTTTTTTTATGTAGTTTTGTTTAGAATAAATTTTTAACAGCAATACAAAGAATAAAATCACCAAGAAATTTTTTTGTCAAGAAAAAACAAACAGATTTACAATGAATTCAACGGAGAATGATAACAGAAATACCCAGAAGTTTCAAAAAAACCTTGATGAAACATTAGAAGGTAATGATAGAATAGATTAATAATGAACTATTACAAAAAATTTCTTTATATATTTTAGAAAAAGAAAAATTAAAAAATCTATTGTCATCAACAAAAAGTGAATGTAATTTATTAAAAAGTCGAATTGAATCAGGTAATATAAGAAAAATAAATATCAATAAACTTTTGATTACTTAGCAACTGATGAATTGAGAAAAGTTAATAAAGAAATTCAAGACATACAAAGTTAGAGAAAAATAATTTTGTCATTTTGTAAATAATAATTTATTTTCTTGTAGTTAAGAAAAAATTGTTAATAAAAAAACAAGTTATCAGACGACAAAGAGAACAAAAGTACGTATATATTACTTACTTACTTACGCCTGTTATTCCTATTGGAGCATAGACCGCCGACCAGCATTCTCCAACCCACTCTGTCCTTAGCCTTCTTTTCTAATTCCATCCAATTCTTGTTCATTTTTCTCATGTCTATCTCTATTTCTCGGCGTAATGTGTTCTTTGGTCTTCCTCTCCTCCTTTAGCCTTCAGGATTCCATGTGAGGGCTTGTGTTGTGATGCAGTTGGGTGCTTTCCTCAATGTGTGTCCTATCCACTTCTTCCTGGTTTCTTCCTCCGCTGGGATCTGGTTTGTTCTTTCCCACAGTACGTTGTTGCCAATAGTGTCCGGCCAACGGATCTGAAGTATTTTGCGTAGACAAATGTTAATAAACACTTGTATTTTCTGGATGATGACTTTCGTTGTTCTCTATGTTTTCGCTCAATACAATAGAACTGTCTTGACATTTGTATTGAAAATCTTGACCTTGGTGTTGGTTGACAGTTGTTTTGAGTTCCAGATGACGTATATATATATATAATTTGAGCCTTGGGTCAATGAATATTCATGTAGGATTTATAAAGTGATATTATACGAAGAAAAGTTATTTAATGATAGTATATCGTAAATATTGAACTCCGATTAACTAACAACATAGTGAGTACCAAGTGATTTTAGTCCCATAGTATTTTCAACATACCAAGGTACAAAGTTTGATTTTTATAACGGATATTTTGCATGCTAATTAGACTATGCCACTTTTTGCTTTTGTTGACTCTTTTCGATAACTTATACTGGTTAGCTTTAATAAAATCAAGTAAATTAATAACAACAATACCAAACTTTAATTAAAACAGTAACAAAAATAATTGTTTTAACTCGGTTACTTATCCCGGGTACATGATATTCAGCTAATATGGTTACAATAAATAACATATTCTAACGCAAGCAACGCTATAAATGATTGTGAAAATTCTATGCATGTTGTTAATCAGTTAATAAATAGATCACCAAAATCAAGAATCAATTTGGTCCAACTTTTGAGATTTTCAAGATTTCAAATCGGTTGTTTTTAATTTAAAGCAGGTCAATTGCTCTACATAAATATATTCATTTGCTAGCAAACCTGTTTATGTTTGGGTACTTTATCGACTCTTATTCTTCTTCATAAGTGAGTTCATATTCGTTTTCCAACCATTGAGTGCAAACTTCATTAAGGGTTATAAAACATTAATCAAAGAACCATATAAATGTAATTCTAGATTTGTTTAGGTAGTTTGCAAAACACAAGAATTCCTATTATTTAATCCATTGGTAGAAACATGATTTATTTGAAGGATTACTTTAGGCAAACCAATAAATTACATATCATTACATTAGGATTCGGAAAGAATACAAATAAGGGAGATTAGATCTTTTGAGTTGTTTTGCTTAAAACTTATGACATAACCTTTTATCGATTCTGTGCGATTCAAACACTAAATAAAACTATTCTGTACATAGCCATCTATAAGATAAATGTTAGCTGAGATTACTGTCTGAACTGTATGTAGATAACTCTGCTTTAATCTTTATCATAAATAGCTTACAGTATATTATATTTACACTGTCATTACACTGGTCTGTTGTTTCTATATATGACCACTCTGATTTTTTCGAAAATTGATAACAAATTTATCATTTTGCTCCCTATATTCCTCTTATAACTAACCTATTGCTAACTTGGATAAGCGATAAACATTATTAATACCAGTTGTTAAGCAATTTAAAAATGTATGGTCTAGTTTAATGTAGTAAAAAAACTCATCATTTTTACGGTTTTCCCATTTATTATTGTGCAGGGCACAAAAAGATTTACACTCACTAATTTCAGATAAACAAAAGATTGAAGATTTGATAAAAGTTGAACGTGAAAATTCTTTGAATGAAAGGTAATTTCAACTAATAAGTGATTTTACCATTGTACTAACTCATTTACTCAACAGAATTCATCAACTACAGGAATGTATTAAATATTCAGAAGACCATTGGATTTTTCGATATTTTAATGATAGAAATTTTGAAGATGAACCACAAAAAAAAGAGATTGAAGGAAATGAAATTGTTCTTACTGAAAATAAACAAATTTAGTATTTTACTGTTTGTTAATGTTATAGCTTTTGGTTTTTATTAATAAATAAATTGAAGTTGAATTCACTATTTTTCTTTCACATATGCTTTTTTATTTGCTCATTGCGTACCAGTTCAAAATACGAAAACTAACAAATACGTACTATATTTTGGTCAGTGTGTTGATGACTTAAAAATGCCATCAGCATACTTGAGTATAATAAAGTGCATCACTATGTCCCAACTGAGTATTGTCAATGACTATATAAACTATATCATCAATCAATCGTAAATGAAAGGTCATAAATAAACATAAAATATTAGTGTGTAGGTTATTTCGACGTTATTTCAAAGAATTTAAATACGAACACTTGCACTCTTTCATGCTACACATGATTGATGAAGGAAATCTAAATTTTGATTAAGATTGTGAATCGCTAAATGTTAGACCACCATTGAAAACCCGAAAGTAATGAACAGTCGTTTCGTCTTAGTATTGAACTTTTCAGGAGTCCGCACACACGATCCGCACCCGGGCTTCGAACTCCGAACCTCCGATCTTGAACCGGCTCAGTAGTTTAGAGGTTGAGCGTCCGCGTGCGAGACCGAAGGTCCTGGAGTCAAATACCGAGTGAGGGATCGTTTATGCGCATCACTGAGGAGTCCCATATTGTGACAATATGGCCGTTCAATGATTCCAGGTTCCGATATCCATCGATTCATGATTCTCATCATAACTCAACAATCTCCATAACCCTACACTGATAAAATCTAAATTGTTTAGGGTGTTATATGTGTATTAAGTTCAAGTCTAATATTGTAAAATGTCAAAATCTTGAAGATTTCTGAATCGACCACGAAAATAATTGAATATATAGTTTTATGTAAAAAAGAAATAAAATTCAATATTATATTTATATTTGGTAAACTGCCAAGTACTCATTCCAGAAAATAATTTAACATAATTTTAAATAACAGACGAACAGGTGACTTTTCAAATACAACTTTCAATGTCATGCAGTTAAAGCTAGTCGCCATAAAACTTCAAAACTAGATTTCGTGCTTGTTGGTGTTATGATTGGTCATCGCTAATCGTTATGTCGGAACCCTTACTACTTATACTTCTAAAACGAGGAACCACTGCGATTCCCGCGACGCGAAGTAAGAACACCAAGACTGATACAAGTGAAGATGTACTAAACCAAAAACACGACCCTAGTTGAAAATACACTCATTTACATATTGATTGTACACCTATTTTGATAATTAATTAGGACAAAATCAAATATGCGAAAAATACTTACAGTTATAATGAATCACACCGCGTGTCATACCGAACATAGTTCATGTTTAATTAGTAAAGAATATCGTATCTTTAATAAATATTACACTTAAATAAATCAATGTTTTACTGAATAAAAGAATTACCACTGGAAAACAAAACAAATACTACACTGAGTAATTATCACATTGAGTTAGAAAAGTGGAAGTAATAATGAACAAAAATCACAATGAGTAAAAAGAATGTAATTTTCCTTCTTAATTCCATCATATCAGTTAGCACATGCTATCAAACCCTTTCAATAATCTGCAGAGAAATGACATTCTCTGGTAGATATTTCCCTATTCTAAAACATTATCACTAAGCTATTCAAGTCATAGTCAAATTACTACAAATAAAATTATGAACCGTTCTTCTCCACCTCTCAAATTATCAAAAAGGACTGTATAAATCAACGTGTTTGATTACTAGTAAGCTGTATGACCAAAATCCCTAATTTTAGTTCATTAGACTTGAGACTATTAGTGGTAATAGAAAAATATAAATTCGAAAATTTATGTATTACGAGTCTTACAAGCAAAGTATTATTAATAACTTCATTTTTTTGACATTATCACATTTTGTATTACTAAACAGAGATTTTTATTGTTCAGTTTTCGTTATGTTTTAAAGTCTGTTGATCTAAGAACACATTCATATATAAGTCAATTGAAGGTAGACCACCATAAAAAACCTGGAACCACTGGACGGCCGTTTCGTCCAAGTATGGGACTCCTCAGCAGTGAGCATCTACTTTCAAACTTACGTTTCTCAACTAAAAATTATTTGTTTTTTATTGCCTTCTACTTTAAACAAATAACACCTACCGTTTAACAACAAAGTCAGAAAAAAAACATTAGACTATAGTTACTATAACAAATACCTGCTGATTTTTTTTAAAAACTACTTAAAACACTGCACTATAATAATGATATTTATTATTTTAATTCATATTAACAAATGGATTGACTCGTTCCCTAAAATATCAAACAATTTGTTAGTTGCAATCTAATATTCTTTTAAGTATTAATACAAAAACAAGTAAATTTAATCAGTGACCTTAATTTATTTGTTTATAAAACGTTTTCTTTTTTTAAAAAGAAAAATCAAAATCTTTTAAAGTCAACTGATTGGTTAGTAACTATCTTCCTTAAGTAATAAGGTTTAATAAATAATATAAAAAGAAGAATACGTACAATTGTACTTTATAAAATTTATTCACTTTAATCAAAATATAATAATGTTAATATAATTATTTCACTTATAAATAAGCAATGAATGAAAATGTAATAATAAATGAAAAATCAACTACTTTAAATTCAATTAGTAATCAGCATAGAATTACAACACCTATTCAACCAACATTACGTACTCGTAGTATATATCTTGTTTATCCACCACCGGTAAAATATGAACCAAATCCACCACCTAGAATTAATCCTTATTTTTATTCGAAACATGCTAAAAATATGCTAGCTGAAACAACTGATGCTAGTAATTATATTCATGAAAGAGCTAATCATATGTTAAGAAATGAATATGATAGATATCATCATTATTATTCTAATTATTTTTATGGAAATATGAAAGAGAAAGAGGATTATCGGTAAGTTACTACTTATAGTTATTTTCAAATTAATTAATCAAATTAATCAAATTAATTAATCAAATTAATTAATCTGTCAAACAATGTCAACCCTAATGTCGAGTCAATATGGTACTACCAGTTTTGTCATTATTATTGTTATGCGGGATTAAACTAATCCTCTATAAAATACATAGTAAATTGATGTACTCATAATAATGTAATGAATAAATAGATGAACAAAAAAGAAAACGGTTTATAACTTTGTTTATTGTATTGTAGAGAATAAACTCAGACAGATTTGTTGACTACACCAAACTACTTTATAAACAGGGAAATCTATCAGTCTCTATTATTAGAATACTATAAAAGAACTTCAACTAAGAAAGTTCCGTTAGTACTAGAAAATCAATTTTTTGAAAATTACATAATGTTGATTAGAATTTCTTGAAAGTGTAGGAAAACTAGCACCTTTAAAATCACTTTTTGCTATTTTATTTTATTATCAGTGATCCAATGAATTTCACAAACTTGAAATCTATATAATCGTTTTGTAATGGTTACCAAAAGCTTTTTTTAAAATCTGTACAGAGAGAATGAAACACTTACGGTATTCACGGATAAACTATTTAAAAAATATATTTCAAAGACAATATATGGAAGTACAGAGAAATCGATTACTTTGCATGCTTAAAGTATATGATATTTAACTCATATCGAACAAAAGTTTGACACTAATGATTATCAATAAAGTTCGCATTTTGAAACTAAAATCACTGTGATTCTTTTCACAATCAAGTCTTCTGATGAGCAAAAATAAACTTTTATAGTACTATTAAGTGGATATATTGTTTATACTAGCAGAAATACATTCTTTAAAAAAGTAAGGATAAGAACATAAATTCAGTTACTTACGATTATATAAACCTTTCCTAGTTATTTAAATTAACAACAAATAAATATACATAAAAATAATATATTTGTATTATCCCAATGAGTAGAAAATTGAATTTTCTGACGTTTCGTGACTTAGTGTAAGTCACTTCTTCAGAGAATAAAATCTTTATTCTATATTACAAATATATTATTTTTATTTATAACAATCAACCCAATGCTCAATTTATTCGAAATAAATAAATATACATTAGTCTGATAAAATCTGAAACTATTTAGATTTCAAGAATCAGAAAACTATGCGGTATTAAATTAAATCATTGTGATTGTTATTAATAAAAGTGATTATGCATAAAATTGGAAACTTATTATTCTCAAACTCTAAAACTAATAATCACTGGGATAAAATTTAACCAAGTTTAATCATTTATAATCAAGGGAAAAACTGACATTCAGTTTGGAAGTAAAAAGAGAAAGGAGATTAGCAAATCAGTCTAAAATCTTTAATCATACATTTATAAATGTATGTAATTTCTTTAATGGCAAGCAAAGAGTTGTCAAATGTGATCTACTGAGAAACCTTATTGTTTTTTTTTGAAGTAGCTAGTTATCATAAAAGTGAAATTATTCTAGGTAAAACCAACCACCTCCGTCATATATTATATTTCAAACTGTCTACTTGACATACAGAGCTTACAAATGTATTTATTAGGATCTGTAATCACCTTATGAATTCTTTTGCGAACGATTTTGAAAGTAAACTCATAAGTAATATGAAAATTGACTTGAGCAAACTCCTGGATATCATCTATTTTATTTCAATAATTCCTAAACAAACGCTTTTGTGTAAGGGATTGGCTATTTATTATCACTTAAAGTATTAATCGAGTGTTTCATCCAAATATCATCAATTGACTTCATAAACATCACCGAATTTTCAAGGTCTCATTATGTGAGAACAAGAAGACAGGTCAATTCATTACTTTCAAGTAGTCCTATATCTTTGTAATAATCATGTGCTTTCAAATGACTAGCTTTGAGCTAGACTCCTGAAGTTCTAGTGAAAAGACTTGAATGGTAGAGTTCAAGCATAAAAGAAGTACAAAGTCCATCCCTGACAAAATTTGACAATCATCACAGAATATCATAAAGTTAAAAATGTGAACCACTAAACTGTATCGTATGGGCTTAATATTATCGTTACAGCATAGGGCTCTGGTT